TTACTTATGCGATGATATCTCCTACCAACATTGTCATACCTAGGTACCTAGGTATTGTCTGCTCGACACTCGACGTAGAGGCTACGATCTCAACAGCGCACGGGTATGCCCTTCCACTAGTGTTACCAGCAAGTGGCCTAATCTCAACGTTCGCGGCCTTGATGCTAGGATGTGGGTCTCGATTTGGGTCCCAGGATAATGCGTACTACTGTCTAGACTATGCTAACTCGATTGTTCTGATCGAATTTGATACTCACATCTCTCGAATCGGTTCCCGCGTCGAGAGACTCTAATATTCACATACCCAAACATATGTAGCGCCAGCGAATTATTGTATTATGAAGCGACTTATTCACGCTGTTACCCGCTTTTGTCGAGGAAGATGCCGGGGGAGGCAAATAAATATTAGAGCCCTCCTGATAACGCCGGACACGACATTTTGGGAGAATGTTTTCCCACCCCGACCAAGAGCTCTGTCATGTTGGACTTTTACAGTAGAAGGTCGGAAAGGTGGGGCTCGTCGATGAGTGAGGTCCAGTGTATCGAAACCTGGGGTACATCTGGGGAAGGAATATGAAGACATTAGTTTGGTGTCGTTCTTGCGCGACAATCAAAAACGGCAAGACCATTGAAGGATCAGATCTGTATTTACTTTCACTCGACACACTCGACCAGACTGTTCTACTCACATTGCGAATGCAGCACTGATAGAGCTGTTTCATTGTCTTCGGCGATCGCCTATGTGGGTAATCGCTCCGGCAACTGTACTATGGACCGTATAATTCATTCACACCGCCCATACAAAGTATTGATCGTATCACTCAATTTCACAACAGTAATGGGAGCTAGCAATAACACCCAGAGTTCTTTTCTATAATTCCCAGTCATTGGCACACCTTCCTTGGCAGCGCAGATGTCGCGACAGTCTTCGCAAGAATGGCAAACGCGCCCGCAGACCGAAACAAATTCGACAGACTGTAGGCAGCAAAGCTTCGTACCCGACCTAGAAATAGGATTCCACACGATTACGTCCAGTTTCACTGGCGAGGAGAGTGCGGAGGAGAGCCATCGCGATCACCGCAACCAGAGAGTTGGCTTAAATCGACCTCACACAATACCATCAGCAGGTACTGTAGACAACAGCATGACAACAAACGGCCTCATCCGCAGTTCGACCTCTTCGAGTCTGCACTCGCTCGATCTGAGCAACTTGGCTACAGCATTGCCTCCAACTGGCTTGACCGGCTCGTCATCGCAAGGACACTCAACGATACATGTTCGTTCGGCGAAGCTCTTCCGGTCCGCTCCCACGCGGATGTTCGCGTCACCAGGTAAACGCTCAACTTCTCCAACCGAGTCGATCGGCTCTAGCTATTCCTGGCGCTCTGGTAGAGCAGGCGTGCACGGTCGACTTCGTGATAAACCACAAGGACCGGATATGACAGAATCATATGCAGATAGAGGTGGGGGTTTCCCCAAGTTAATCGATCACGAACAAAGAGGGCGGAGTAGGGAACGGGAACGGGGAAGAGAAACGCGGCCTGGTCTTGTACGGAGACTCTTTCGACGCTTCACAAGCTCTGATCTAGATGCGCAGAGAGACGATCCGAGCATACCGAGCACTGGAGATGTATACGGTGTGAGACGTGGCAAACGAAGGAGTACCAATTTCGGGTTCTAATTGAAATGGGCCCCGGGGGCTCAGGAATATGCCACGTGACATCATGGGGCATACGACCAGACGATGTAAAGCCATCGTGTTGGAGGATAGAAGCGGACTCGATTTTGAGCTTACTAAGAACGTGTTGAGAGGTGATAAGTCTGCTTCATGAGGAGATACCTAGGTAGCGTCGAGAAGTAAGGCGCGCGTCATGACGTCAGCCCCGTGATGTGCATTTCGCGGGTACCAACCTTGGAAGGTAGTGCAGACTACATATGGATATTACCCAAACGTTGTAACTGGACTGTCTCGCATTTACAAATCTATAATCATGAGAAGAGATGAAGCGACGCGTATTCGAATATCTTGTCAGATCCGCACACACTGCCCAGGTGAGTTTAGTGTCTTCGAAACTGTGCACGGGCAATGACGTCCCCATCGCGAACGCGCGCCCGACCTTGGATAGCTGCCAATCTTCCCACTTCCCTTTCAGCTCCTCATCTCCTTCTACTTGTTTTCGTCAAATCACGTCAGGATTCTGCCTATCACGTTTCGTAGTCGTCCGTAACAGCCATGCGGCGGCGGGGTAACTTGATTTTAGCTGGGTGCAACGCGCCCGCGTGGTGGCTTAGCGCGACGATGGGACGCCGCACTGCCGTTCGCTCACCCTCGTGACAGCTTGCGCCGCTAATGCACCTCTCACTTCCTGCGACTTCATTGCAGTCGATCGACAGCTATTTAGGTCAAACTTTGTTGGGCATTTCGCGACGCCATCCAAATACGATAGGACGCTATGGACCATGTCAGCGCATCTCTCGAACTCCTTCATCGTACGTGTCACCGTCAATAATCGCTTGAACTCCTCGATCAACGACCTAGCACGTTCTAAGCTTCGTGTATTTCACGACATTGTGCAAGAGATGGCTGAACTAAAAAGGTCTTGACTAATCGTTTGTCTGCTCTCAAATACGGAACAGGAGACAATGGGGTTAGATTCACGATGCTAACGTCGCTGTAGTCATTTGCGCAACTTTGATCTTTGTCCGCGACGTCACGAAAGACACAAGCGGCGTAACTAATACAACGAACTTTTTGAACGAGACGCTTGTGTTTCTGGATGTGTTTTCGAATGTCTGCTTCAGCGACTTAACCGGAGTTCTACGCGACAGTCGTTTACATCGTATCTTACCAAGTGATGTAGAGCACTCTCTTTACTCGCTCAACAAGTCTCTAGCCGCGCACCGGGAGGCGTGGAGGTACATCGGCAAGAGTCCCACCCCTGGTGCGGGGCAAAGAAGCATTGAGGACCTGAAGCGCGGTCGCGCCGCGTCACTGGATGTTCAGCATGAAAAGAAGAGCTGGAGAGACGAAATGAAAGAACGCTCGCAACTCTGGCGAGAAAAGGCGCGGCCAGGGCTATACAAAGCATTGTTCGGAGAAGAGGAGATGGCCACACTCACCTTGAATTGCTTGCAATGGACACATCGGCTTCGTCAAACTCTGGAAATTGTCTTCCTTGGCATCGGACCTCCGGATCCAGGATTCGGTAATTCCAGGCAGGCTGCTATCCTTGGCGTGGCAGAACAACTCGAACGCCAGCATCGAGCAGGTGCAGAACCTTCGGGCGACTATACTTCGCTCGTTGGCGCGCTCAGAGAAACGATCAGCACTGGGCAGCCATCGCACGGCCTTATCAAGACGATATACGATGACGGTGGAGATGAAGTCGACGTTCTTGTTGAAACGCGATCGGACGACGAGACGCCTGCTGAGTACATGTGTCATTTGACGTGGTTGCTACAGGCTCCTCATCAGACTGACGTATCCGTCAAGAGCGACGCCCAGAACGGCTACCAGCTGCATACATTAAGCTGTATGGGTTTCATCGATGATCCACTCAACAGAAGGAGTCTTATCGTCTACCGCGCTCCGCAAAGCCATCCTTGGGCATCAAACCCACCGTCTTTGTATGACATGATCTCGAAGGGTCCGACCGCGAGACCCTCAATAGGAAGTCGCTTTCTCATCGCAAGAGCGCTGACAAGCACACTACTCGAGTCGCATGCCTCCGGCTGGGTTCACGGGAACGTACAGTCGCGCAGTATTGTAATGCTGCCAAGATCGTTTAACGATCTTGAGTTGTCTCCCTTCTTTGTTGGCTGGGGTGTCCTCCAACCCCTCGAGGCTACGCACTTCCCGTTGGAGCCGAACCTGTACCGCCACCATGACCGTTTTGGCCGACCATCTTCAGAATATTCCAACGAGCACGAGATCTACTCACTGGGCATGGTTCTTCTAGAGCTTGGACTATGGCGGACGATGGCGAAAGTCTTCGCCCGCCGCATAGAGAAGTTCCCGATCTTCGGCATAGTACAGCAGCAGGATCTCTTTAATCGTATACACAATGCGATACTAGATTGGGCCAACAGTACCGAAATCGAGAGAGAGATGGGAAAGGCTTACGCGCAAGTCGTGTCAAAGTGTCTTACTTGGCACTATGAAGATCCAGTCGAAGGCATGATTGAGTTCCGAAAGCAAGTCGTGGACGTGTTGACTACAGGATGTGGATTATAGCTGGTGGGCTGCCTCTGGACATCAAACCCAGTCGAATTGCGACAAATACCAAATTTGAGAGCGATTAAATACTACCGACTGAGGACAAGGAGTGGTCGCGCAAACAGAGCAACGGCGTCAGCGGACAGAGTCCTACGCCAAACACCAAATACAAGCGCGCATGCAAACAGCAACGAATGTGTCGACACACAAACCTCTTGGGCGGGGAAAGTGATGTTTGGTATGCTATATGTTGGCGCTACGACCTCGCATCAACGGTTGAGTCGGTCCACACTCTTCGTCAGTATATACAATACAACAGTATATGGTAGTCCAAGCTTTCAAATCACTTATCGGTTACGATGTTCGGGGTTCTTCCAGTGGTCTTCACGCCAAGTGAGCTCCCTGCCTCACTGTCCGGAAAATGCTATGACCACGCATGGCCAGCGTCTGTCATTGCAGGCTCTCTAGAGCTGCTATGACGTTGCGAAAATTATATCACCTCGCCATGGGTCCGTTCAGGAGATGCAAGTGAGCACGGGCACCCAGAGGGTGCTTCGTCTACTGATAAATAGCCTGTCTCTTACACTCAAGCACCTTGGCTCCCCTCCACCGTTACACCCACCAGCGCTCTCAAAGTCTTGGTTTCACCAGCCGTACCGCGACTACCGCTCTCCTCGCAAACCGCCCCGCCCTCACATCTTCCGACAAGCGCCTAAAAGACTGCGCCGACCCGGCGAGCTCTGCCCGTATCGCGCGAACGCAAGGCCAAACTCCGACCGTCGCAATGTCCAACTTGAACGAAGAGTACGGCCCGGAAGACATGGCCTGGGTCGCGGCCGATGCTCAGATGAGGGAAGAACAAGATCTGAATCGTGCCCTTGAAGCAAGTCGAGCTTCCGCAGGAATCGGGGTACCACCGCGTCCAACGAGCGCTAGGGTCACAAGACAATTCGAGGCGGAGGACGAGGAGATTCTTGTTGCGCTCGACATTAGCCGGATAGAAGCAGAAGACGCGGCCCAGAGACGCAATACAGACGCGGAAGCGGATCAACAACGCTTTCTCGAGGCTCAAAGGCAGTCGGAGCTCGAAGCACGAGCTGCCGATCAAGAACGCGAGCATACTTTTGTTGCCCATGAAGCTCAAAGGCAGTCGGGGCGTGAAGCACTAGCCGCTGATCAAGAACGTGAAGCTACTCGCAAAGCTGAACTACAGTCTCTGAAAGATGAGCGTGCTCGGGCTCAAGATGCACGATTACGCCAAGAGGCCTTGGATCAGGCCATCGTCGAGAGCAAAGTGGCTGCCGAGACTGAGCAGCAGCATTATGAACAAGAATCTGCGCGCCTTCAGGAGGCATACAGTTTGCGCGGCCTGAGTGAAGAAGAGCAGCTGCAGATGGCGATAAGCCAGAGTCAAGACGTAGAGCATTCTCGTGAAGTTGCACAGGTCGGGCAACTTCGAGAGGATATGCTACGCTGCGTAAACGAGCAAGGACAAACTTCTGCACCATCAGGCGAGCCATCGGCTACCCAGCATCCAGAAGACCTCCCAGTGTTGGGGGCCATGGCGTCCTACCCCCCGGGTCCAGTCACAGAGCAGGAACAAAGGAGTGTGGCCGACGCTCAGGAGGCCATTGACAATCCGAATATACTCTATCGGCCTTTGACACCGATCTCAGAGGCATCTGCATCGCGACCGCCAAGTCTGCGATCAGCGACACATTCCCGAGCCCAAATCCCTGGCCGTACCGTCGCCACACACACGATGGATCACAACAGGGTGGGTGCGATGCTTTTACACCCGCTGGGCGGAATTCCTACGCCACCGGCCTCCGAAAGAAGCAGATCGTCCATCCGATCGGTCTCCTCAGGCCGTCCACCGTCGTATCAGACGATAGAAGAGAACCCTGCGCGGAGAGTGGAGTCGTTTGAGGCACCCCACGATGTCCCGAACGAGTCGCAGCCCAGCGAAGAGCCTCGATATCCCGGCGCTTATCCTCCGTCTCCTTCCCAGGCCAGTTCGGCGGCTGCTAATACGGTACTCCATTCAAGACCGATTGCTGGGACACCCTTACTTCCAGGAGCATATCCTCCTTCCTACGCGAGCAGTAGAGCACCTCGCAGCGAGGCGAGAGTATTCTCTGAGACGCCTGTGCAAGAAAGTGTTGTGTCTCGACGCCCGTTGGGTAACAGGGGACCCAGCATTGTGTCTATGCGAAGCGAATCGTTCTCTGGCGCATATCCGCCATCGTCGCAAGCAAGTGGTGTACCGAGTCGACCGGATACGGTTTCATCCGGAGGGACGTTCTTCACAGCCCAGGAAACGCAGCCACCGCCGCGCCAAGCGAGACCACAGGTCACTCTCTCCGATCTCTGGAATCATCGGGACCGAGATAGCTACCAGCAGGAGGAACCAGAACCTCGTCCGTTCACACCCGTATCGTCATCTACACATTCAAGCGAAGCTTCATCTGCTATTCGACCACCGTCGTCTCGCACGTCTCAGGGGAGTGTTGCGCGTAAACCTGTTGCAAGATCTCAGCACGCTGCTTCCGTTGCTGCTGAGCACCCAGAGCCAGCTACTGCCGCCGATGCTGTCAGTTCATCAGACGTGATACCGTCTGGCCTGCGGCAGGACCCGGTGACAAACATATTTAACGGTCCGGTCAGTGTGGTCATCAACAACTTTCCCGAAGAGCCCAAGCCCTCCCAGAATCTGTTGAAGCAAGTCTTCAACAAGAGCAGGCAGACTAACAAGGGCATCAAAGTTGTCGAACAGAAAGGACCAGGGTTTTACGTCAAGGGTATAGCTGAAGCAGCACTAAAGAGTGGCACAACATATGTCAATAAGAAGACAAGTTGGTTTCAGCCCAAGTCCTCTTCTACGGCTGAACAGTCTATACTTAGGGATTTTGAGGGAACAGGTCGAGCATATGTACCCCCATTCGTGGACACGGGCAGCATTGCTAGTCCTTTCCCTTCGAGACAGCCTTTGCACGTCGTGAACCCAAGTTCATCGCGTTCGACTCCCACGATGGCAACGACGCCAACGGTACCTGAGATCTCTCATCAAATGATGGCGACGGGTATTACACCTCGAAGGTCATCACGCTCGCCTCTGAGCATGCCTGAGATGAGCAGGCCACTGGAATCAGAATTGCCTGGACGACAGAGTGATGAGCTCGCCATTTCTCGGCCGTCTGCATCGCAGCGGCCGGTGACGTCACCTCCGCTGCCAGCGACAATACAGTCGAGGCCAATGTCTCTGGATGAATTGACTGTGTCCCAGATCTCCGACGTAAATGGGAATGCTGTAACTCCGCCTAGCGTCTGTCAATCGAGAGTGAGAAGCTCCATGGACAACGATAGCTTCCGGTGCGGCTCCGAACTCCGGCCTGAGCCGCTGAACGTTCGCAAGCAGCCTCCTCCTGTGCCACCAAAGCCTTTGGAGCTGGCGAGCCCTGTTACGCGTACAGCACCTCCTCCGCCTCCCCTTGCGAGCCGCAACCCGATGACGAGGCGTATGCTTAGCGGGCAAGAGGAACCATCTGGATGGGTACAGCAACCAGTGCATCTTCTTGTCATGAATCCGACCCAAAGACCAGCGATGGGCTCACCGGATTCTATGATGGTGACACCCCCAACACCTCGGCGGATCAACGTCGATCTGAACCGGCGCAGTAATTTCGGACCAATTGACACGAGCCTAGCGAATGTGCCGCCTGGTGAACGTCGCATCGATGAGTTCAACTCGCGATCAATGATGGATCTGGGTATGATGGGTCAAGTAGGCAATGCTGCGATAATGGAGCCACTGCGTGGACAGTACGAGCAGACCTACGCCCGTCCACCACACGTGCAGCAGGAAAGGCTGAACTCGGATGCGAGGGCAAGGAAGAAGGAGAAAGACACGCAGAAGGCTTTGCGAAAGCAGTTTTGAAGGTTGAAGAGGCACCGAGGAGTAAAGCCTGGGATAAAGGAAGAGTACCCATCTTACTATTTCAGCTACGTTTTTCTAAGTATCGCAAACAATTGTATATTATTTACCATCTTTGGAGCGGTTGAAGTGATATTATCACATGATCATTTCGCCCAGGCGCGACCCCACAGGCCTGCAACTCCACGGCTATCCTTTTCGTCTGCTTGTGAACCGGGAACAAACACCTCAGATAACGTTACCCGACATCGCGCATATGAGTGGTGGGGTAGTGACCCGCTCGAGCAGGGGTGTCGGCCTCACCAACAATTCCCGATCGATAAGCAACGGAGATGCAGGCCACTACAATAAGATCAATTGATGTGCTGCGAGCTAAAAGGGAGTAAACATCCAAGAGGCAGGCACAAGATACATTGTTGAACGATTTTCCAAAGTCCTATTAATCGATTTCTCGAAATTTAGAAGCATGGGGTCGATAGATGTCGCAGGTGGTATTAGGACGGTAAGCAATCGATGGGAATAGTCAAAGAGCACTGCTAACGCTGCATAGAGTTGGAGTCGTTTAGTGCGGTTTGTCGCGACCGAGGACGGTGCTGAGCACATCGGCGAGCCCATTGATGCTGAGTTGGATGGTACGTCGATCTGTTGTCATTATTGCCCGCTGTTGCTAATACGTTGCAGTCGGCGCAGCCCTTGCTTCAGGACCAGAAGTCAAAGTCCGCGTTTTCACAGGGTCATCGGTACTCTCCCTAGATGCCCGGCCAACACTAGTGACCTACACGATATCAAGACTACTGCCACCGCTCTCAAAAGCCGAGGTCGGAACAATTCGCTGTATAGGCCTGAATTACCGGAAACATGCCAAAGAGATGAACTTGAACCTTCCCAACCACCCGACGCTGTTCTTCAAGCCTTCGACATGCCTAGGGGCACCAAATGCGCCTTTAGTCATTCCACATCAGGCGACAGATGGCCAGGCCGATTACGAAGCCGAGCTCGCGGTTGTCATCGGGAAGCCAGCCAAGAACGTGAGCAGAGAAGATGCGATGGATTACGTGCTGGGCTACACGTGTTCGAATGACGTAACCGCGCGAGTCCACCAGTTTAACGGAGCGCAATGGGGGTTCGGCAAGGGCTTTGATGGCTTCGCGCCAGTAGGGCCATGCTTGGTATCCGCGTCTTCGATACCAAACCCAGGCGACATTGAGCTGAAGACGGTACTCAACGGCGAGACTATGCAATATTCGCTGGCGAACGACATGATTTTCAGCATACCAGAAATAGTGGCATATCTGAGCCAAGGAACGACGCTGGAGCCGGGTACTGTGATCATGACGGGTACGCCGCATGGAATTGGTGTGAGCAAGGTGCCGAAGGTATGGCTCAAATCGGGAGATGATCTGAGGATTGTAATGAGTCATGGTATGGGAAGTCTGGTTACACCCGTAGCCTATGAGGAAGCTTAGAGTATATACCGACAGCGAGGCTACATGACATACAAGTGGAACAGTAGTGCCATCCTCTTAGAGAGCAACGAGATATGCCAAAAAAAAATGGTTGCACAATTGGCGGGGTCGGCAGTATCTACAGAGCGTGATGCGCTATTGGAAGCCGAACAGCATCTGCTCTTGTGTGATGTTATCCAGTACATTCTCCCAGTGCTGCAGATCGGTTGGCTCAAACAAAGTGGTGAAAGATGGGTCACCCCATGGGGGCGCATGCCATTGGAAGGGCCCACCTGCACCTATCGCCGGCAGATCTGGCACCGTTACCGAGCTATCTTCCGTATACGGTGATGTCAGGTCGATGGTATTGGCACCATGCACGGCAGGTGGCGCATTTTCTGCTGTGTTGGGACGTGTTTCAGTACGACTAGCACGAAACTGATTCGCTTTCTTGATGCAGAGTTCAATGATTTTGACCTCAGCTAGCGCGAACTCATTGAGCCAGATATCAGCTCTTTGCATCTCGCAATATGCGGAGAGGTCCTCTAGTATCGCGCGACATTTAGGCGAGTGTGGATCTTTGACAGCGATTATTCCGAGGACTAAAGCGCTGTTGAAGAGGTGGTGTGGACCCAAAGTCCACTTCAGACGGTCATTCAATGGCTGTTGGAAATAATCGATGCGCATGGCAAGGTCAGCGCATGCCGACGATATGCACGCATCGTGACTGTGTCTGAAGCGGTTCGTAATACTTTGGCGCAGCAAATACGGTCGATGAAGCGTGACGCGGGCGAAGTGGTACATGGAGTGGAGATGCAAGCGATTCCAGTAAAGGAAGGGGAGCGTGCCATCCATAGATGTGTCTGGGGTTTTCAGGTGATAGTAGTCTGGTAACCTTGCCTCCCAGTCGATAATATCATGATCTAGCGAAATTACGGTGTCGTAAGAAACGGTGAAGAGACCAAAGCAACGCTCTTGAATGCTGCCGATGATCTTTGCCAAATCGTGTGCAAGGAAGTTGTAAACGCTCAGGGTAGGCTCGGACATGGGTAGCTCTGGGATGGCGGACGTGTCCTCGTCTGGTTGGTCGTCCAACCAGACGTTGGTGGCTCTTTTGACGAGACACTGCTGGTCAACTATAGCGAAGGGACGACCGATGGCAAGCGCGATAGTCTTATCCAAGGTATAGAGATGGCTCCACAAACGCCTTCGGGTTTCGGTCTCTTTACGCGAGAGACGCCAACGTTCGCCATCGATATGCATGCCTTGTGCTTGGGCCATACGCATGGCAAAACTGGTCGTAAGCCAAGCCTCCGGTACTCTTCGCAAATGGATCAGATAACGTGTGACCAGAAGACCGGCACGAACAAGATCTGTCGACTCTCCGTAGAATGTTGGTGCAATGACTATAGCGCGCCTTGCTGCCCAGTAGAAGCGTAGTGATGTCTCTTGAAGCTCACGTTGCACTTCGCCATTCTTTGGATAGGGGCAGTCGAGGAAAACACCGTACGCAAGGACAATGAATAACAATGCCAGCCACCTCAGATCGATAGATGCATAGTCATCGAAGCCGAATTTACGCTCCCAGAACTCGTCATACTTCAATTTGAAAGACTGTGGATGGATGGCGTCTATGGTCCAATTCAGCTCGTCGAGGAAGACATGTACGAGGCGATCGACGCTGGCCTTGTTGCGCGGCAGCAAGCCTAGGAGATCCCAGATCTGCGAAAAAGGGCCTCCAACATCGCGGAAAGATTGCGCCGAGGCCGCAGCATGCCGTATACCGGAGGAAAGATCTGGTGCGGGCTCTTCGATTATTTTTGCTGCAGCTTGAGGTCCGAAATAGGATGATCCGAAAAAGGATGGGGCGTCTCGACTGCGGAAGAGATTACCGACTTGTGCGTCTCTGGGTTCGGGCGAGTTTCTGGCACGCGTGGAAGTGGTCCGTGTGTCTTCGCGGTAACATTAGCACCAATCTTTGCAACGAGCGTGTCGACAAGGCTCTCGCATTCTGCTGCGTGAAGGCCAGCGCCGATAGAAACGTACCTGTGGGATTCTCTGACGATATATCATCATTCAGAGGGATAGCGGCGACACGTGAAGTTTGCCGACGACGGGCTTCAGCCTCGTCGCTGTACGTGCAGCTTGAGGCAACGTCGCGTCTGCTGCAGTTGAAGCATGGCAGCTCTCCGTCGCACTGCGTAGGCCATCAGCTATCTATCCGATGTATTGAGCATTGCTCGTGGAGTGATTGCAATCGTTCATAACGGAAGCACTGCGAAGATGGCTGGGTTGGAGGGTCGTCATCACCAACGCGTTGTCGCGCCGCGAAGCTCGGAGCGACTGCTTACGTCATACGCACCTTTTGCTTCCGCCGATGGCACGCGACACAGCTCTTCGCTTGTCGACCTCTCTTCCTCTTCTTCGCTGACGGACCTTCGTCACCTCTGTCCATCTCTCCCTCGTATCGCGTCTCCGTCATGTTGATGATTCCCGATAACGCTGGGATTTAGCCGATAGTATCTCTATCGGACGCCTGCCTGCCAATGTTCCTAGCGCATCCTCCATGCGTATCATGCCCACTTTAGCAGGGCTCGCTATCTTCCCGCGTCGGACAATTCCTTAGGCACCGATCGGCAATAATGTTGTCCCAGGTCAAGATGAACGGTATAAGGTATATGTCATGGCAGATGGGTCTGGTTTGGATCGCAAGCCTGTATCATGAGCTTTCCGTCTCGTCTAGCCGCGGAAGACGACACCACCGACACCATGTCGCATCCAACCCCGGATGATAAGACCTTTGATGGCTCAGTTCACGAGAAGGATACCCAAATTGGCGCTAGCGAAGAGATTCATATTGATCCAGTCGCTGAGAAGAAGGTACAAGCAATGCACGCAAAACTGGGTATCACGTGCTAACTAAGATCAACAGCTCATTCGCAAACTGGACCTCATACTATCTCCGATGATGGTCTTGGTGTTTCTGGTATGCATACAAACTCTCATTCACGACAACAAGTCTAACAAGGGTGCTTCAGGTGGCCTACCTTGACCGGTCCAATATCGGTACACACATCTCGCAACAATAATTTCCAAGGTCATTTGCTGATAGCTCTCAGGAAATGCTGCCATCGCAGGCATGAACGAGGATCTGGGACTCACCGGCAACCGTCTCAACGTTGCCGTAACGCTCTTTTACGTCACCTATATCGCCTTCGAGGTTCCAGCCTCTATATTGCTGAAAAAGCTGCGGCCATCCCGCCTAATTCCAACATTCATCATCGGCTGGAGCGCTGTCATTATCGGAGCTGCCTTTATCGAGAACTACGCCTCTCTCATCGCTACCCGCCTGCTCCTCGGTGCCTTCGAATCCGGCCTGTTTCCGTGCTTGACGTTGTACCTGAGTATGTACTACAAGCCTCTGGAGCAAGCGCGGAGGGTGTCGTATCTCTTTGTTGCATCTGCACTAAGCGGTGCATTTGGCGGGCTACTGGCGTACGGTCTCACAAATCTCCATGGCGCAAAAGGACTAGCTGGTTGGCGCTGGCTATTTTTGGTGGAGGGTCTCATCTCCATCATCGTCGGTGTTGCTACCATCTTCCTACTACCTGACAATTTCGAGACCGCGTGGTGGTTGAACGAAGACGAAAAGGCTCTGCTTCGCGCCCGACACGAGAACGAACGATTGTACCAGGGCAAGTCGATGACAACAGATGCCTTGGACAAGTCGGAAGTAAAGCTTGCTTTCCGCGATCCCAAAGTATGGCTCAGCTCTGCTTGCCAATTCTGCGCCAATACCTGCTCCTTCGGTTTCTCGACATTTCTCCCCGTCATCATTCGTGGATTTGGATACTCTAGCATTCGCACTCAGCTCCTCACCGTACCCGTGTACATCTGGGCCTCGGTAGTATATCTTTTCGTCGCTTTCTGCTCGGATTACTTCAACCGTCGAGCGTTCTTCATGGTCCCTTTGGCGTTAGTTACCTCAATTGGTTATGCCATGATGCTGGGTGTCTCCATATCCTCGACTGGGGTGCTGTACTTTGCGACCTTTGTCACTGCTACTGGCATCTACTGTGTCGTGGGTTTGAACGTTACCTGGATTATCAACAGCAATGCGGGATACTTCAAGCGCGCCACCGCCATAGGACTGCAACAGACGATCGGTAACTCGGCGGGTATAATGGCCGGCCAGATCTACCGTATTACGAATGACGATGGTCGGTATGTGATTGGTCACGCGGTCTCCATCACAACGATCACAATCGCGGCATGTGGCTACGCTCTCATGTACTTCACTTTGCGCGGCATTAATAAGAAGAGAGAGGTAATGTCTATCGAGGAACGAATCCGACAGATCGACTCAGGTAAACTTGGCGATCGCCATCCCGACTTCCGGTATACATTGTAGATACACAACCACAAAATAACGAATGCATTTCCCCATTACTAGGCTATGCAGAGGACCCAGGCTTCAGTCCCTTGAACGTTTTGGTGATATTGGTTATCGCGTCTTCAACTGGCAAGCGCTCCATAGAGCTTGCGCCATAGAAGCCATGTACGCCCTTCGTTCGGTTGATCACATACTCCGCGTCCTCTGGCTTCGCGATTGGGCCGCCGTGACATAAGATGATGACGTCCTCTTTGATACCTGTTGCAGTATCGCGTATCTCCTGGATCAGCTTAACGCAATCATCCAAGCTCTTTCCACTGCTCGCCCCAATACTTCCGCTCGTTGTAAGACCCATATGAGCGACTAGAATATCCGCGCCTGCGTTCGCCATCTTCTTTGCCTCTTCCACATTGAACACATACGGCGTCGTTAGGAGGTCCATCTCTCGCGCCATCTTCATGACGTCCACTTCGGCGTCGTAAGACATTCCCGTCTCTTCAAGATTCTGCCGGAAAGTTCCGTCGATCAATCCAACAGTCGGAAAGTTTTGGATGCCGGCGAAGCCAAGGTCTTTGAGTTGCTTCAAGAAGCGAGACATGTCTCGGAACGGGTCGGTAGCGCATACTCCTGCTAGTACCGGCGTAGATTTGACGATGGGAAGAACTTCGCCAGCCTGAGATTGTTAGCCGCTAACTGGGAGCACCTGTTTGTCGCATCTGGCATACCATTTCCAAAACCACATCATTAGCGTTTCCGTATGGCATCAAACCAGCCAGCGAACCGCGGCCTGCCATTCGGTATCTTCCACTGTTGTATATGATGATGAGGTCGCCGCCACCGGCTTCGATAAATTTCGCGCTCAGTCCGATGCCAGCGCCCGCGCCAACAATGATCTTGCCATTGTCGATCTGCGAGCGGAGATTTTGTAATATGCTTTTACGATCGCTTGGGGGTGACATGTTTGCGAACTAAGCGTACTTCAGCTCTTGATTGGAGTGGAGATGAGGTGTCTGGTATCAAAAGACATAATCGGAAGTCTCGATGCTGTAGCGATGATGCTGGGTCGCGCTGTTGAAGTATGCACGATGACGTAATGCAAGCGCGGGGGGCATTACACGGGCATGCGCATCCACGACCCACTCGATACTTATACATCAACCTTCTGTACTCTTTATCAGATGATTATATCATTATGTCTTCTCACCCACGCGTCGTACTTCTCGGTACTTGCGACACAAAGTTGGAGGAGCTTCTTTTCCTCCGCAAAGAAATAGAACAAAATAATGTCGACGTGACGTTGATGGATGTGGGTAGAAAGCGTATAAGGCACAGTTCCATCAGCATCAGTCAAGATCAACTGCTGAAGGATCAGGGTGGCGTGGAGGATGTTAGTGACTTGCCTCGAGGCGAAGTCATCAAGACGATGGCTGCCCGCGCTACCAAGGCAGTCAAGAATTTGTTTGAAGAAGGAAAAATACACGCTGTCATCAATGCAGGAGGCTCGGGTGGCACATCCCTAGCGGCAGAAGTGATGAGGACTGCACTACCCATCGGTTTCCCTAAGCTTATCGTTTCTACCGTCGCAAGCGGTGACACTGGACCCATCGTTGGAGAAACGGATATCACTCTGATGTACAGCGTGGTGGATGTCGCTGGTCTAAATCAGGTACTCCGAAACGTGCTAAGCAACGCTGGAGCGGCCATCGCCGGCATGGCTCGAGCATACGCATCCCGTCAAGAAGATGCCGTTAGATCTACGAAGAACCGTGTTGGTATTACCATGTTCGGTGTTACTACTCCAGCCGTCGACTTAATACGCGCACATCTGGAGGCGAATTACGATATTGAGACGTACGTCTTCCACGCTACCGGCCACGGTGGAAAAGCAATGGAGCGACTTGTCAAAGAAGGAGGCCTTGATGCAATACTGGATCTTACCACTACCGAAATATGCGACCACATCACCGGCGGTGTGATGAGCGCGGGCGAACATCGTCTCGAGGCTCCTGCAGAAGCTGGAATACCATATATCGTCTCCGTAGGCGCGACTGACATGACAAACTTTGGCCCCATGAACACGGTACCGGAACGATACAAAGACCGCAAACTTTACGAGCACAACCCTGTCGTCACCCTGATGAGGACATCCGTAGACGAAGCGACTCAAGTCGGCGATTTCATTGCGGCGAAGTTGAAAACTCATGCAAAGAACCCTGAGGTGGTTCAGATTTGGCTTCCAAAGGGGGGTATTAGCATGATTGCGGTCCCCGATGGGCCGTTTCAAGACGAAAAGGCGGATGCGGCGCTCTTCGATGCGATAAGAAGAGGGCTCCAGGATAGTAAGGTCGAGATAATCGAGGACGAGCGCGCGATCAACGATCAAAACTTTGCGCGCGACATCGCGGAGGCTCTAGTCGCGAAGATGGGTATCGGTCGGAAGGCGAATTGACGCGATGCCGCATGACCTTGAGGTGCACAGAGAGAGTTTGTTCAACCAACTCCATGCGCATGGTTAGCTACACGGACATACTCAAACATGAAAGATGACATCTTGTGGCTGCTCTTGGCCCCGCAACCAGGGCGCACCTATATTTATCGTAGGGCTGTGCTGTTTCCAACGTCCATCGCAAGGCAGCTTTACGCCCATATACACGTCTCATACGATGCTCTGCCCCTGAATGGCTATGCGAGATGAGCAACAAGGCTATGTGGGTTCAGGCGTTCTGCGCTAGCTAGCCGATGAACCGTGACTGGACGCATAGCACAGCGGCTGGATTGACAATACTAGCGCTGATCCTGTGCCACTTGACAAACCTCACCAACTGCTTTTCCTGTCTTGTTGCTTTTTGAAGTACTGGCTTTTCTACTGTCAACTTCTATTTCGCAGCGTAACTACACTCTTTTCGTCTTTCATCATGTTCACACGCGCTAGCGTCCTGTCACTCAGTTTGTCATGCATTATCAGCTCTACCGCCGCGCTAGACTTGGATGTTCAGAACCAGGGTAACAACGGTCGTCCCCACTTGCGTAACTAAAGCTTAACATCGATAGACTCCATCAAGGGTGCTGCGAAGACGCTTGCGAACGGTCTCGTTACTTTCTACAATGAGAGCGTTTCGGAATCTGGAATCCCCGGCATTTTCCCCGATCCCTACTACTGGTGGGAAGCCGGTCTAGTCTTCAACGCGCTGATCGACTATTCATACCTGACTGGCGATAGCCAGTATGACTCTATCGTTTCCGAAGGCATCCAAGCGCAGCTTGGTGAGGACTTTGCCTTTATGCCAGCAAATCAAACTGGACAAATTACCAACGAGGATCAAACCACCTGGGCTCTAGCAGCCCTGACCGCGGCCGAAACTGGCTTCTCAGCACCAGAGAACAGATCGTGGGCTGAATACGCTGCCGAGGTATTCGATGTGCAGGTGCTAAGATGGGACGAAGAAACCTGTGGAGGAGGTCTTCGTTATACAATCTTCACGTTCCAGTCTGGATACGACTACAAATCCAATGCTGCCACCGGCGACTTCTTCCTCCTGGCTGCCCGCCTAGCCAAGCTTACCGGCAACGAAACTTACTCTGAATGGGCGGATAAATCGTATACCTGGGCCAAGGACCGGGGATTGATCAGCGATGATTATGATGTTTACGACGGTACTTCTGCCGACTTGAATAATTGCGAGGATGCCAATCGCATGCAGTGGTCGTACATCCACTCGGTATATACGGAGGGCTCTGCTATCATGCAGAACATCGTGAGTATCTCTCATTGTTTGACCCAGACTCATACTAATAGCTACCGGTAGACAAACGGCGCACAGAAATGGACCGATGCTGTACAAGGCTTCGTGAACTCTTCCAATGTCTTCTTCGAAGACGACATTCTCACCGAGATATCCTGCGAACGTAACGGTCAGTGCACTATCGACATGCGTTCTTTCAAAGGTATCACCGCACGCTCGTATGCCCGTGCAGTCATCGCCGCCCCTTCCCTCGCAGAGCCGCTCACCAAGAAGCTCGAAGCGTCCGCCAAAGCCGCCGCTGGTATATGCGAAGAGGTTTCGGAAGACGTCAAGTGCTCGCACTCATGGGATCATGCGGATAGTTTGGAAACTGCTAGCGACGGCAATTTAGGTGAGGTGTTCAGTGCGCTGGCTATAGTGCAGAGCTTGCTGTTCTCAAAGGCTAAACCGCTCGCTTCGAATGGGACGGAAGCTGGAGCTGGTGACAACGCGACGCAGAACGGGGATGCGTCGGGTACATCTGGTGCCGAAGTGCCCAAAGAGACGGGCGCGGCAGGGACGATCGCTGCGAGTGTTACGGCGGTCTTGGCTGTGGCTTTTGCTGCGGCGTTGAGTTGTTAAGCGTCACTCGTGTCGATTTGCTCATCTCTTCATGCCTAAGACAAATGAATATCGTATTCGTGGTAACCAACCCTATATTCATCGCGTGAAGGCGAGATACCGACACCCTGGATGATCATAAAGCTACACGGCTTCCTAATGACGAGACGTCGACGACATCAACCTCTACGCTGAATATTCGCCACTGATGAATGGTTCTCTTCTCTTTCAAGCTTACAGACATCTCTATGCGACGGCCATCGGCATATGTGTACATCATCCTATCCGAACTCATCTGCCAACGCCTTTCTTGCAATAAATCCCAAGCCGTCTGCATATCATACTCAGCACTGATTCCTGAAGGGACGTAGACGGTCGCTAGATTGAGGCTCATTTCGAGGTGAACAATGAAAGCTACATCTGGGTGGGTATGCCGACAAGAATAGGCCAAGGATATTATATGGATTGGTGGGTCGTTCCAAAGGCGAGTGTAGGTTCGAGAATCTGCTTGCCAATTGGTCCCATCCCTCTTTTTGGGTTCTCGTCCACCGAGCTGTGGATAGTCGTCACCATACCATCCTTCTACATTGATCAGGCAGAGTCCCACAGCTGATATCCTCGTCTTCTCGTCAATTAAGTAGGACCTGTTATATAGACTTGGCCCAGCAGGGTTTTGCTGAATGTATGGAACAATGGTAATTTGCTGGAAATCTGTGCTTGCAAGTGCATCGCGGCTGCTTACAAGCACAGTCCTTGAATAGGTCGTGTGTAGAGGAATCGATCGCCGTACCACATGGCGTGGAAAAGTGGGGTACATGGTCCATTCCTTGGGAGAGAGCAAGACGCCAACCATATGAGAACTCTTGTTTGTTCGCAGCGAACAACTGAGAAGGCCGATCAACAGCCTCTCAGCTATTCGAGCTCCTGTGGCAACGTGCATTGAGACAAGCGGCAGGCGAATAGTGATACCCAGATTGTCAAGAGTCAATAGTGGTCCTGGAATAGGCGCCAGTTCCAGAGCCACGCAATTCTTGAATTCCAATGGCGACTTCGCCAGCACAAGACCAGTTATTCTCGGCGGATTATGTTGTGGAGCTGTCCCATCCGCAGACGATATTGCTCCCTCGGTGTCTAGGCCCCATGCTAGAATGGAATCATCGTTGTTCAGTTTCCTAATAATCTCTTCCTGCAGACGCACAAACGCCTTCTCGCCTTCGCCGTAAAGCAAGGGCATATTGATACCAAACATCCCCATAAGGCAGTACGCTTCGTCCTCTTTCCGGGTTGTTTTACGGTATGATGCCCATGACATCTTCTTCGCTATACAAAAGCTGTCAAGTCTGTTTCCAAAGCCCGGGCGGTCTCCCTTAATTTTGCTCAGGACTATTGAGTCAATCCGCGTGATTTGCCCTATCAACTCTGATAAGTTACTGCGACGTCCAAACTCCGTCCAATTTCGGTCGTAGAAGATCACTTCCGCGGGTGCGATTAGCTCTTGCAAAGTCCAGCCGCGGGTGAACCATCGGCTTCCTGGAAGTTCTCCTTCGAGTCCAATTGCCGAAACATCCACTAGGAAAGCGTAACATATGCAAGAACGTGAATACCAATTGAACATGGAGTTGATAGCCTCTGATAGTTCCGCGCTTGATGTCTTGTCAATGCAGCACGTGTCCACCCATGCATATTGTAGCCCGTCGTGTAACGCTTGTTCGCAGGTATGTTTGATCTTCAGGTACCCAGCCTTCTTTGCTGTTGAAGGTTGGTACAGAGGCAAGTCGGAAAACGACACCTCTTCGCGGCCCCATGTGTGAGATAAGATGGCGTAGTCCGGGATGTCGGCGCCGAAGTATTCCTCGAGCTCAAGAGTTTTGCAGTTTATGAGACGCATAGCTGAGGTATATATGTGGCGCGTGTTATTTGCATGTGGTGATTGAAGAATAGTTGGGTGGACGGTACGACAGGAAAGACATCAGGCTGAGACTTCCCCGCTCTGACGCCTGTCAGGCTGAATAAGACGATCACATGCTCCATACTTGCGCATGCATTCATCTGTGAAGTTACCGTAAGCAAGCGACTGGAACTGCCGCAATTTATCCATCAATGTCGAAAAGGTACTCTACGCTGCAGTCAGTCGTGACGTGTTCACTTATTCGTCCCAATTGGGTATAGCGTCGTCCTTTGCTTATGTCACCCAGGAACGATGGTCTAGGAACACTACGAGTATAGGAGTTCAAGCACATTTCATGCGGCAGTAGAGCGATAGGATCCATGTGAGATGCCTACGATGAAATGTACAGTGACCAAGAGTTGGCCAAATCGCGATGATGCGGGCGACATCGGCTGTTTCCGTGGTGAAGGTGAAAGATGTATTTGATCGTGTCCGTCGTCATGGACTTGTTGCAAAGCCAGACTTTGGCTGTTACTATGATGAGAGAGCTACAGTCACTGCGAATAGACACGGCCGCAATGATGGAAGCTATTGTAGTTATCATAGCCACGGTCTTGGTGTGTGTATTGCGCCCTTCACCCTGTAAAGACAATAGCGACTTTCGTATTGTCGCAACCTACGATAGTCAGTAGCACATTTCACAGTTCCCAGTCAGCATATAAAGTCTACCTCCTGCTCTTGACCGTCCATCTTTCTCATAACGATAAAACACCCTCAAAACAAACCGATATGTCGTCTACTTTCCTCTTCTTTGCGCTGGTCGCAGTCATGGTCTTCGCTCTCCCGGTCGCAACTTCGTTCAGCCTTCTGGATCTCCTCCCAGCCGCGCTGGAGGATGGGGCTGGTCCCCATCTATCTTCTGGGGCATGGTTCTTCGCCGGCTGCTCTGTCCTTTGGTCCTCGCCACCCGCCTGCCGTGCCCTCTCTGCCTCTGTCGGGACTCTCGCCGCGCTGGTTCGTGAGCTTGCTGTCCTCTCTCGCGACACGACGATAGCGGCCCTGAAAGCTCAAGTGCTGGCATTTGAGCAGAATTCGAGTGCCGCTTACGTCCCCCCTCCCGGTACGCAGTCGCTGGTCGACTGTGAGGCCACCTTCGAAACGCTCCGGCGCCAGATCAACAAGTTGACCGGCAAAGTCGCCATGTATGAGCGACACTACAACGTCACCGCCGTTGACGCCGACCGCCTCACCTCCTACCAAACCATCGCCAAGCTGAAGCTGGAGCTTCAGTCAAAGTGCGACGAGATTTCCCGGCTGAAAGATGCCATTATCCACAAGCGCAACGACACAACGGTGTCGACCCTTCTCTGCGAGCGAAACCGGCTGGAGGTGGCCCTTGAGGCCAAGAGGAAGAGGGTGAACGAGCTGGAGCCGATCGCTCTTCAGCACGGCCGCGATATGTACCAGCGCGACGCCCAAGTCGCCATATTCAACGCCCTCAAGGAGTACATCCACCGGATGGTGGAGGCGGGAGGTCTTCAGATGACCGTCGTGGTGTTGTTCCTTGGGGCTCTTGCGGGCAATGCTGGCGTTGACCTTGCGGAGCTCGGTATTGACGGAACGCAGTTCCAGACTTACCTGGACTACGCCATTGCGGTCTTTGAGGGCCTCCCATGTCCTCTCCTTCCACAAGGTATGTCCTCCTAATATATCCTCTACTGCTTCCAAGACCATTCACTAATTATTGTCTAGGTGGCTTGCGCCTTCATGGCATTCGGTACCCGCTGTCTGGTCTACGCGTCTTTGGCAACAGGATTGTCGAGGCTGGTCCCAGTGTCGTCGTCGCTTCCACTCCAGCCGTCGTGGCCGCTGCCTCTTCGGTACCCCCCGTCGGCTACAACACCTTCAGTGCCCCTCCTGCTATCATGCAGAACGCACGGAATACCTCCTGCGCGACTCAGTATGTCGCCTCTGCCGCCCCTCCATTTGTGTTTGCCGGCTTCACAGCCCCCTCCAAGTCTACTCCGGCAATGCCATGTCCGGCGAAGACCTCCGCGCCTGCTCTGCCGGATCCCGTTCCCGTGGCGCCTTCCCAGCCCGCCACAAATGAGACGAGACAGATGAGTTTCCAGCCAAGCAAGAGGCCGGGTACTTTTGGCGTAGGTGGCGGCGGGATTGGAAAGACGAGTTCGGCTCCGAGGAGGTCTTGAGCGCGTCGGGTTTGGGGGTTCAAGCAGAAGCGTGCTTATGCAGTGGCGGACGTGTCGGTCGTATGTATTTCGGGTGATGAGCGTGATTCGATGATTTCAATAAAACCTGTTCAGATGCGCCAAATATCTCGTTTGTGTCTAAAGTGACGCAATAAGCAGGCTTTCTTACTTTGAGCAACCATTTCTCGTGTGTTGTCTTGATTCAGACCTGGGACTGTTCGACGATGCGAGGTGTTGCTATTGGGCCCAAGTTGGCGCAGGTGGTCAGAAAGCCAAGGGCGGAATGTCGCGTCATCTTCGCGTCGCGGGACCACTGGAAGGAGACGCGACGCCAAGAAGCTTTGACCAGGACTTGGCCACCCCACCCAATGCCTCGCACTCTGTCGCGAGCTAGATGCGATGTCCATCACGTTATTACTTCTGCGCATTCCAGAAACATCATTCGGGTATCATTAGGTTCCTTGTCTTTCAACAGCCAAACCGGATGCAATACGGCCGCCCAACGTGTGGCTGATCGAGTGCGCCTCCATTGGGCAGATACCTAGGTACACGAAGGCTTAGCATCCATCTGCAGCTCAACTACGTGCAAGGGCCACGCAACCTCGAGCTACCCTGGGCGTTGTCACTGCATAGATGCTGGCACTGGAAAACACTGCAAGTAGGCCATTGGATTGACCTGTTCCCCCTGGTGCAGCAGTTACGGTAATCTTCTAGAACCTTCTTTATTAATGGGCCCAGTCAACATGGTGGAGTTTCTGAGACGTAAACATCTGTTTTACCTACCCATTCCACAGCTGTTTGGCGACATATTGCAGGAGACTTTAGTTTCCTGACATCTGATTATGGTCTCTTCTCGAAATCGCCATAGAAGCCACGGTATTAGGAGAGATGATTATCTTTCGCGTGTCATAGTCGCTTACCCACCTGTGAGAAAGCGATTCCAGGGAGACGGGCAAACCTTTCCAGCTCACTTCCTGTTATACGTCGCCAAATGCCTTTCTTGACCACCACTTCGCAGCTTGGCACACATTGAACTATTTTCCGCACGAGCGATGTCAGAGCCGCCACTCCCTGGAAAACCAGAACCTACGTTTGAAGGTTTACCCCCTGAGATCTGGACGCAGATTTGCCACTCACGGGCGTCGTACGCAGACGGAGAGAGCTTCATCCTTGACCCCATAAGCCTTTCTAGTCTCCGTCTCGTTAGTCGAATCATCCATTCGAAGACCCAAGACGCATTCCTACAGCGTCATCTCTCTTCATCCAAGTTCAGCCTGATGCCATGGAGTCTGGCCATTCTGAAAGACCTATCTGAAAACGAGCATCTGTGCACATACGTGGAAGAGTTGGAGTTCGGCCCGGAGATATTAAACACGAATCTGGATGTGGACCTTCGATATATCAAAGAGCCGTGGGAAGAGCCGTCTATGGGATGTCCACACCCTCAGAGCTACATACACATGGATTCTGCCCGACCTGTATGGCCCATGGTCAAGCTTCCGGAGCCGCTGTGGAAAGGCCTTACTGGAAGAGGTTCAGGATCAGCATTAGTGGTTCGTTGGAATGACCGAGGCGGCTATACCCACTGGCTTCAAAAGTACGAAGGCACGCTGAAGAGACTGGTCGAGCACCAGAACCGCTTTAGCATAGCGGCCGAATACGTTCGAGATGCCATCGGAAAGCTTACGAACTTGAAGAGCATCAAGATCAATCCCCGTCCTATAGGAGCATACTACGAAGAACGATTCGCCAAGCCCATACTGCGGAGTCGGGGTACCATGTCGCTCTATCGCGCAGTCGGGGCACACGCTATCGAAGTGACCACCGATTTGGCCCCATCTGGTTCGAAAACTCTATTAGAGTTTAGCCTCGATGGCCTTCTCTTCATGGAGTATTACGCCGAGATCATCATGCTGGAGAATCTCTCGAAGATACTGAGCACGGTTGACTTGGACAAGCTCACGGTTGACCTGACAATCACCGCGGCCAACCTTCCATCGAACGGCAAGATTTACGATACTGGCCATCAAAGCTGGAGAGCTATGGCTCCTCGGATACGAAGTCTAACCTTCGATTGCGCAATGAGTGATATCGATGGCAGCGAGGTTCCTGCCTTGCTAACATGGATATCGGAGATGTTGATCTATGCTACTGCAGTCGAGCACTTCTATGGACGCAGCTGTGACTTTGAGTACCGGATGTTGCGGACTGTCTTTGTGCAGTCTTCCTGGACCAGTCTTCGAACGTTACATCTCTTCCGGTCTCGCAGTCACGGGCGCAATTTGCTTCGGATGCTTCTCCGTCATCGCTCAACATTAGAAGATGTGAGCTTTTCGCATGTCACAGTCACAGGTACGAGCATAGCAGCATGGAGAGACGTATTCGTGGCAATGAAAGACATGCATCGGCTCGGGCGTGTCGCGCTTGAGCAGCTCGAAATACAAGGCGACCTCGATATGTCTAGCAATGCGCCATACTCATGGGCTTCTAAGCCACTCACATCTGATCGGCTGAAAGCCAAAGGGTACGAGAAGGTTCGCTCGATGCTGGACTTCGTGACGCAGCGCATACTACTTCTTTCGGGTCGAGAGATCACGTTCTGGCAAGTCCATTTCGAGGTTCCTCCATGAGAAATTTTGTAGCACCAGCTTCATGAGATTGCGAACTTAGCCGCTTCTACGGATTCCAGAAGCAAAGAACTATCTTACGAAGCTGCGATTCGAGTCATCTGTTTGGAAGCGCTAGCCGCGCACACTGGGCGAGCTCAGGTAGGAGAAGAGGGTCCGACTGTAGCTCCAGTCATGACCTAGGTAATTGTAACTCTCTTGGAATCAAGCCACCCATTCAGAGTCAAGTAATGTCGCTAAATGCGTCTTCTGGTACTATAACAACACGCGATTATCGACCAAGTGCATCTGAGTAGAACAACGAGTGCGCGTACATGCGGAGGTTCGGATGCACAGCATGCAGCACGGGACTACCCTTGGTTCTATGCCATGATGACATTGTCACATCACTCAATTCTTTACTCTTACCAATGCAAAACATCAGCTTACGAAGAATAGTAAGCATGCCAATGAGGTATCAGACAGTACAACGCAGGTTTTCGCCATGCCCGCGTATGCTAATCCTCCAGTATGCAGGGCTGACCAAGCTGGTACATATAACTCGGCAATGCAGCATTATCATACGCTCTACTCATGGTGGGGTCACCATTGGCGTGGTAATACTCGAGCTTCTACTGGCATCTCTAGATATAGGTTACAGGTAGCGACGCCGCGAACCCTGGTACCATATACGGGGCCACCGTGCTAGATCGCACCTCATTAACAACAACCACGGGTCTATAAAGGCACACAACTTTATTTAACCCCCCGAAAAGTCTTCTTCATTAGCGATTCTAATAGCTTCAACGCGATCACAATATTCACGATACAAAACTTCCTGACCAGAAACCCAATATCTGGTATCAGCACACATATATTAATCGCTTGCCATGTCCTCAAGCGCTTCGATCAACTCGGTTGATTCTCTCGAGGAACTCTATGGCACCAACACAGCTACCGTCTCGCATGTTGTTGAAACGCCCATGGAAGAGGTCCGACGCTTCTTCCTGGGCAAAAGCCATACCCAGATATTGAAGTATGGCCTTGGTATGGAGATACCCGGCGCACCACCACTAGCGGCGCATACCATCGTTGTCACCATGGATTGCGAAATGCACGAGATAGAGCCACGAGTGCTGACAGAATATGGGCTCAATACGTTTTCGCGGAAAGAAATGGCGCCAGTTCTCAACAGTCCCGGTATACATGGGGAAAAGATCTTGCGGAATATCTACTACTATCACATTCGTGTACGCGAGAACGCACACCTTATCAACTGGAGGTTCGTCCGAGGAAACCCCGAAAGAAATCACTTCGGCTCAACGCGCTTTGCCACGAAGGAAGACGCCAAAGACTTCCTAGTCGAAACACTCGCGTGGCCTATCGATGATGACAACGAGGATGGTCCTAAATGCCCAGTCATATTTCTCGGCCACTCAGTCAAGAACGACCTTCGGATGCTGCAAGAAGAGCTTGGTATCGACCCCAAATTCGACAGCAACGTCGTCGCCATCATCGATACCCAGAAGATCGCGAACGAGCAGGGTATTCGTGGAAAGTGTCAGCAAAAGGGCCAGCAAATCGCACTAAAAACTTTGATCCCACACTTTGGCGTGGAGTTTCGCGATGGTCATACAGCTAGTAACGACGCGGCATATACCATCATCAGTGCCGTACAGATGGTCTTGAAGAATTCGCTGCCGACCGACCCAGCCCGCTCGCTGCAGGACGTTGTGAACGGTGTCTCTGAGGATAGTAAAGGGACTGTTGTGGCATTTGGGGTGCCTAGATGGTGCACTGAATGTAAGGTTGCCAGCCATCTTGTTCAGCCAGGATGCAGGAAAAAGTTCGTTAAGATAGAAAGAGGGATGAGGAGTAAGTCTTACAAGCAGCCATGATCGCGCTGCTTGCACACGTCCTATGATCCTTAGTTTACCGATGGGGTGTTGGTGGAGGCCTGGTGGGCTGACGGGCATTAACCTCCCTATTTCTTCAAGATGTCGCTTAGTAGTCACTTCAGTTCAACAAGCTGTATTATTTGTATCGCAGTGTATAGTATTGGCACCTCATTTTATCTCGAAGACCACCGCATTCACATCGTACCCTTCCGACCAGCCGCGCTATCGCTCAACCTCCAATCCCATACCATTATCATCCGATCTAACAGCATCTCCCCTTCTTCCCAGCGCCGTTCCAATAAGTCGTCGTCACATAGCCTCCTTGGTCGTTGCGCTTCTTCTCTTTAGGCCAGCAGCACGCCATGCAGACGAGGATGAAGAAGAGAAGCGCAACTGTGGCTGCGAGGCCGATCATGATGGCTTTGCCGTGAACGCCGAAGTAGACATACTCGTTGGGATTGGTGGAAGTGGCGCTTTCTGCGGGTGAAGCGGAGGTTGCGACAATAGAGGTAGCGAGTGTTGTGGTTGCCATGATTGGGTTGGGTTGGATTGCTGTGGTCTTTGGTGTTAGTCGTCATGGCTATGGACTGAAAACGAGGAAGCACTCACTTACAAAGTTTTTGAGCTAATGCGTGTCAACTGTTTGGTGTTTTTGAGGCTAGCTGAGCGTTTGGGTGTATGGGTTTGAGCTGTCAGTACGCCCAGAGCTACAGCGTGCTTTTATCCGTAGACTCAGAGGCTTTTGCGCACGGTATCCTCTTACGATTTCCATTTCGACATGGTCAAAGGTCTCCCCAATATTCTGTCTCAACGTACACAACATACAGAGCTCGCTTATTGAAACTCACTGTTTACACAACTTCTCGTGGGAAGCAACAATCTTTTGGGATAACATGCGGCTCTCTTTCCAAACAAGTCACTTTGTACATGTATATCAGTACATAGCCACGAAGAGGCCGGTCCCAGCGCTTTCTAATCTCCCAACGAGCTGAGAGAATGCCCGATAGGGCTGAACGACCGACCCGTCAATACTTACACTAACGGAAACCTGCATGGAATGTTGATGGAAGCTTCACGTATCGGAGAGAGAGACGGTGAGACTGTAGGCTCAGTGAGGAGTATTGGAAGTGCCCTGTAGATTGCTGGATTGCTCGATACCTCCCCCCCACGCTTTTCCGAGCAAGCCAACTATGTAAACGCGTTTCTCGATCCTATGCCGGACTTTATTGCGTTCTTTTCACGCTGAGCTGTAAAGATTCTGCCTTGCGACAACATTGACATTGTTTCACGATCCAATAAGGCGGCTGTCACCCACGGATCGTTACACTAACGTGGCACTGCAACAGGGATGCATGTTCGTACACCGCGCCGGTGAGTTGAATCTTCCCCAGCGCTACAGTCAAGATCCTTACTGGCCATATCCTTGTCTATACATGCGTTTAAATTAGAGAGTATGACAAGAAACCCAACAAAACCTTACGACTTGAGGTCAAATGCCCGATTGGATTGTGGGGAAGTAAACTTGCCATGCAATCTTGCTTTTCATTACTAATTCCCTATAATCGTACACCATCTGCTTGAAAACTTCCAGTCTAGCTCAAGCGCCAAATGATCAGAAGTTCGTAGAAACCCCAGGCCGATCGCCTCTATGCATATTCAAATCCTCCATCTCCGCGACGCCATCCGGTACGTTTCCTTGAATTCTTGCATCAAGCTGCGGCGGAAGTAGAGGTTCATTGTGCAACTCAGCCGCTCCATGACCCGCACCATGAAAGCTATCAGTACCAAGCTCACTCATTGGACTCAGGGTCCCCGCACCATGCAGTTCAGCCGAGCGTGTAGAGCGTAGAGGTGCATTCGTGCCAAGTTCGCTGACGGGACTTCTCACTCCCTCGCTACGGAGATCAGTGCTGCTCATTCTGATAGTCGGACCGCCGGAAGGCGAATTTGCATGCCAGCCTTGCATTGTTGAAATTTGAGAGATGGGCGATGTGGGTGATGATAGGCTAGTCACGGCGTGTGAACTCAGCTCAGGGTATCGAGACTCCATGTTGCTTCCATGACGATGCGGTTCAGGTAGCTGTGCTGAACTATAGTATCGCGCGTTTTCGCTGCCTTCACTATGCATCTCTGGGGGTCTGAAGTAGCCTGTTTGGGGACGTGGCACTGATATATCCTCGCTGTGTAGCTCGGCTTTCGAGCGTTGGCGCATCGGTACACCGGCTCCCATCTCCGAGTATCGACCGAAGCTCGAATCATCCTGGATATTTGGCAATTTAGGCTTCGGGCTGGTGTTGCGAGAGGGCTCCCATATATCTGCTGGAGACGCCAGTGAAGATTGGCGTTTGCGACGGCGCATAAAGAGGAATATGAGGCCGATGATGAGCGCAATACCTACGGTACCGCCTGCTGCTGTACCAGCGATAGCGGTGGTACTGAGTGTAGGCGCAGCAGCGGCAGTGGCGGTAGATTGAGGTGCGGCTTTCGAGGTTGCAGTGATAGTGACATGCGAGTGGACAGTCACGCCATTTTGCCCCTTCGACGTAGATTCCGCGAGACCAGTGTCGTTCGGGAGCGGCGCTGGCCCAACTGATGTCGTTCCCCCTTCTGTTGTGGAGCTCGATGGCGTTGGAGACGCTGACAGTGATGGCTGGGAAGATGCGTCTGCCAATTGTCCTGTGTCTGTAGAAGTAGCGACCGATGTTACTGGGACTCCAGTGATGGTACTATCCGTAGAATCAATGGGTGCATCTCCTCCCGATTTTGTTGACGCGTGTGGATCACTGGTAGATGATAGCACAGTTACAGTAATTTTCGCAGTACTACTCGATGTTGTGTCCTTGAGCAAGTCCTTGTAGTTGAAATAGTCTTCGCTAGATATGAATCTGACGTTTTTATCCTCGCACGCTGCGAAGAATAGATTCACATAGTCTGCGGTCTCTTATTAGTATGTCTGGATCAAGTGTGTCGCGCACATTCGAGACTTACCTTGTCGGTCCGTCAAGCTTGGACATGCACCGAGAATACACGGACCAAACATGTTGAAGTGTATGGGGATAACGTCTGGAAGGCTACAAAAGCCAGCGAGGTTATCGGCGCAATTGCCATCGAGAAACTTGCCCTCGCCGACGAGACATTGCCTCTGGCACCAGTGTCAGTGACATAGTTTACCAGAATAGCTGCATGGCCAGTACAAGCAACTTACAGTACAGTCAGGAAGCGGTAGTGGTGGCTTCGGAGGCACACAGAATTGATCACGCGCTTGCGCCGCGACGATGCTGATCAGCAAGAATAGCACGTAAAGTATCATGTCGAACGTAAGCGTTGATGGCTAGATCGAGTCGAAGAAGAAGAAGCCCATCAAGAGCAGAAGAGATTCAGCCTTACTCGCTTTTAAGTGCAAACGCCCGCGATTGCTCTCTCACCTCTGACCTTCTCCACTGCCCAATCAGAGCACATGCCCTACCTCAACTCACACAAAACACCAACATAAACAATCTCAACGGCACTTGGCAAACGGCTAGCCACATAAAAGCCGCACTTGAGATTGTTCTGTACTACCGGTTCGCATGCACCGCCTAGTCCCGTACGACTTGGTCAACGGAGATAAGCCTAAACCTAGCTCGTCGCCCAACGGGCATCCGCAGGAGCTGCTACACGAGCCGCAAGGATATATTCCGAAGCAGTTCACCGGTAGAAACGAGGAGATATCAATAAAACCCAAAACACGCAATCTCAAAATGCACCTCCCCGGTTGTGGCGTGGCTCCAGATCCCCATTTCTCTCCCACTCATCCCGCTGCATCCGTTCAAACTGTGCTCGCGATTCCCTGTCCTGGCGTATGTCGATGGAGTCATCGCCGTAGCTAGGTCGGCGTGCGCTGTACTCGCTCGCTGAGTCATCTTGCGTATTGCGCTGGCCCTGCATGACTTGACTGCCGCGAAGCTGGTTGTTGGGTAGCTCGAATTGATCGTTGTACGGCTTGTGACCGGGGTACCTGACGAACGTCGACATGGCGCAGTCTTCATCGGCTGTACCGTACTCGGGGATTGGGCTCTTAGGGGTTGTAGGGCTGAGGGGGAAGACAGTCGTGCTCCGCGGTGAGCCGACGAGTGTCGCGTCGTTGTAGGTGGATGCGGTACCGTGCCTTGATGCTGCGGCGTCGGAGCCTGTACTGTCGATCTCCTGGCGATCTGAGAAGTGACGGATTGATGAGTCGCTCATTAAGGTATTGATCCTCCTAGACACGCCGTCAGGGTTCATAGCGTCTAGCATCTGAGCGTTTTCGACGCGCAGCTTCTTGGCCTCCCTCTTTTTCTTCCACCAGAGCCACAGCAATGCGAAAACTATAGCAAGGACGAGAAGGGCGCCGATGACAATTCCCACAATGGATTGGACGTTGAGCTTGACACCGGCTGGAGCAGGCGCAGGATTCTTGGGGTCACTAGTCGTCGAGTCGGGTGCGGAAGGGAATGTGGCTGGAAGGTAGGGCTCCCATCGTTTCGGTATGTCGGTGAGCTCCTTGTCTACCTTCTTGCAGTGGTAAAAGAGACTATCAAGGAACTCTGTAGCGAAGTTAGTGGTGAACGACGTTAAGTTGTACTTCACAGAATACGACTTACCTTCTCTGCCAATGTCACCATAGCAAGCGTCGAGAACGCACTGCTGGTTGAACTCTGTGTTGTGTTCAAGTGAGTTGCTGGCCTTGCAGATGCAGTCTAGATCGCCCATGACACATAACGCCTCGCCCTGTGGCTTTGTCGTCATGCATTTCTGTGGGATCTAGTATGTGTTAGCGAGTGTGTCGAAGGGTGCAAACGGTGGCGCATACTCCGCAGATTGGTATCTGCCCATCGGCCGGACCCGTCGGAGTTGGCATGACTGTAGCTGTCGAATTGGTGATTGTAGTGGTGAGTCGCGTCGTAGTAGTCTTCGAGGACGCCGCAGAAGTGGTCGCGCTTGTGGCCTGAGTCAGTGTACTCGGTTGAGTAGACGTACTAGGTTGAGAGCTCGTGGTGGTGGTGGACTGCGCAGTGGTAGAAGTGGAGACTGGGATATGCGGATTGTACTGAGCCCAGGCTCCAGTGAGATCGATCAAGGTCTTACCAATACAGCCTGAAGAGTACTGCTTAAGAAATACTAGCCGGTTGTGGGTTAGCTCTCTCACTCATTTTCTACTTTCCTTGGGGCGGGGGCACGGTACGCACGCCTTCTTTTGTCGTCACCGACCAATTCCCTCAATATGCAATCTGCGGAGAAGTACTGGTTGCGGCCAAACTCTTGTGTCTTATCACAGACGCATCCAAAATATCCAAGAGTGTCCCCGCTGTGGTTCTCGCAGTACAGCCATTTGTGCTCGTTATTCGGATTGTCGGGCTGGTCTGGGTACATTGTCCCTTCTGCTTCTTCCTGGCACTGTTTAGATATCTGAGCTAGTTAGCTGATCTGCAGCAAACAACATGGTAAAATTTCACATACTTCATATACAGGCGGTACATATCCAGGCAGGTCCATGGTGGGAGATGCTGGCGATGGTATATCGGAAGCGGAAACGGCATCAGGAGCAGGAGGAGTGTACCCTGAGGGGTTGTTGTTGTCCGCCATGTCTCAACTCTGCAGCGGTGAAGTTCTCAAGATGTGAAGAAAGATGTGATGAGAGATGTTTGTTGATTCACAACTTCCACGCCTGCCAACGTCCTCGTCTAGCCCCCTCAGTACGGTGAGGGAGCGCCGGTCAGGCGATCCGATGTCGGTGACCGAGCTGTCGTCAGAAACTTATCTATATACCCGTAGCGGCGATGCTTCACAGCCTTTCTAGAGTAAGTCCAGGGAATCGTGCGGTTGTAGTTGAGAAACTAAGGGCCGAAGGTGAGTGTACATCGGTGCTTGCGTGGCAGCAATCAATTGCATTTCGCTCGACTCCAAGAGTGCGCATTGGCGCATTGGGGTGAATGATGGCACCTCGGACTTTACTTGCGTGGCACGCAAACACGACGTTCGTTCAAGTCGCCGCACTCGGCGTGCTGGCAAACAGTCCTCGAACGCAAATACCTGTACAATCAGCCAATAACCATAACTATGGGCGTTCGAAACAGGAACAAGTACGAGCGGAATTCCGAGAAAGAAATCGTCGAATTAGGTAAGTTGATAGCTGGCAGCACTCCTCGATATGCCTCCAAATCGATAATCAGTCATATCCAAAGAGACCCCAGTGTGAACAAAAGAAACCTCGGTCTATAGCTTGTACGCGGATTCCTCGTCTTCTCGATCCGTCTTCGCATGGTATACGCATCTCCGGCGGTCAAAAAGCCAAATTGCTCCATCTGGTATGCCGCCTCTTGCGCGTCCCATCTCCATCATCCCATCCAGCCTTGCTTGTTTCGACAACGCGTCTAGAACAAGCAGTCCAAGCAACAGCAGCACGCCAAACCAGCGCACAATCCCGCAAATAGACCGCCACCACCGCCATCAGCCCTCCTGTCGTCCTGGTAGTAGCCGCCCGGGGGCGGTGGGCCCTGCTGGTACTGCATCTGCTGGCCGTTGTATCCTCCTTGGGGAGGTCCGTATTGTCCTTGAGGAGGACCATACTGGCCCTGTGGCGGTCCGTAGGGGCCAGGCTGGCCTTGTTGGTAGGGGTTCGGGCTGCCGCCGTAGTAGTCGGGTTGGGCGCCGCCTTGGTTGTAGTATGAGGGCTGCATGCCGCCGGGGGCTGGGCCAGCATCTTGGTGCGCTGGTGGGGGATAGGCGGGTGGTGCGCCTTGGTCCTGAGAGAGGGTTAGCACGTGGTTGTGGTTGCGACTGGATTGGATAGGAGATGGGAATGTCGCGCGCATTGCGACAGGAGACGCTAGCGGATGCGAGGCAGACGTACGTATGGTTTAGACATGTTGGTAGTTTGCGAGGATTACAGAGAGTGTGGTGTAAGTGTGATGGACTCCTCGGAAGGCAAAAAGACTGTTACGTCGTTTACTGGGCGGCAAGGCTGGGTAATCTCTTCCAGCTGTCGATCGAACTTTGTTGGGGGGTTGTGCCAGGTGTGAATGGCGATCCTCCGGGAAAAGTGTGAAGAAGGAAGGAATGAAGGGTAAGTAGGGAAGGCAAGGTTTACTGGAGTAAAAGGAAGGAGCGACAAAGTGGTCAGAAGTACAAGTAGAATGCGGAGTTGATCACACACCAGATGTCGCGGCGTACGAAAGAGGGTGGCTGAGCAAACGTGGCGGACGGGCTAAGCCTTGTTCGGAATAGTCTCCATTCGATAGTCCACCGTGAGCGCGAATCGCTATACTCCCAAGGCTTGTGGTACCGTGTTATCCGTGATCATGCATATAGTCGGCTTCGCAGCTATTACAGTATTTCGTAGTCCTACTATATCAAGTACACATGGTAGATGCATGACTGCAAATGCGTGCAGCACTTTGCCTGGTGAGTAATCGTTGCAAAACAGCGGGTACATCCAGGGGACATGTCAGAAAGTCACAAATGTCACGCGTAAGAGGATGCGAATATGTAAGAAGAAGAGCGCAGCCAACGCGGGCCGCCAGAAACAAGTAATTCTCTCTCCTCCTCGTTGGGGCCATGCCTCCAACCCTAACGCCTCGTCCAGCAGATCCAGACTATAATACAATGCTCTACGTTCCACCCAACATCACCTGCCCGTCATCTCAATGGTATCATATCCACCACCTACGTCCCAGTAAAATAGCTCAGGATCCTTCTATGCCTGCACGTCCAGGCCCTCGTTCGCCGGTGCCTGTTGCATCTCCTCGTCCTTGCCCGGAATAATCAACTCCTCTTTTTGCTCGTCGTCAACAAATTTTCTCTCGCTAACGTGTTCTCCCTCCTTGGGGGCGACCCATTTATTTGTAGTGATCTTCTTCTGACCAGGCTCATGCTTATACAAGCAGCGCGCGTTAAGACACGGGTTGAACTTGCACATGATGGCACTGTGTCCAAACTTGCAGCCCTCGACAGCGCAGTCGGCGCCGTTGTGACAAGGCTTTGATGTGGGATGCTTGTAGGGGCACGACGAGGGATCACGGCAGTTGGGCCAGAAGGCGCACTCCTGCTCTGATTGGAACTTCTGTCGCTGCGCAGGCGATGGGTGCTTGCCGACACACTTCTTGTTCTTGCATGCCGCACCGAAGTCGCACGTATCGTTCATGTCGACCGGGGTTCCGGGAATCGCAGCGGGCGACTGGTGAACGAAGTGGCAGTCGGGGTTGCTGCATCGCAAGTTGAACTTGCACATGGTGGACGAGGGATCTGGGCGGCCGGAAGGCAGTTCGACGTCCATACCGCTGCCGCTCTCTCCAGCTGGACCATCTGCCATCGTTTCGTCCTCGCCTTCCTTCTTGGTGAAAGTCTTAGCATTCGGGTTCATGCCTCTGCCGCCCTGGTGTGACCGGTCTATGCGTTGATGTAACGGCTTCTTAGGTCCGCGGTTGTTGCCATTGAAATTGGGGTTGACGAAGCCGGTTGGTTGGCCACCGGAGAAAATCTGCTGCATCATCTGTGCCTGCTGCTCGTACATCTGCATCAGGGCCATTTGCTGTTGCGGGTTCAGGCCAATGCCAGGCATGCCATTCTGACCACCCATTCCCGGCATAGGCATTCCTGGCATACCGCCCATACCCATACCGTTCATGTTGTTCTGGCCCATGTTCATGTTGGCGTTGCCCATACCGCGGCCGTTTGCCATTGCCTCGATTCCGCGTCCGATGTTCTGGCCCCGTGGGCCTTTTGGCGGATCGCGGGCGTGCGCGTTCACACGACCAACTCCACCGCCGGCGCCACGTACGCGATGTAACACCGACTCGCTGTTGCGGTCCATGTTCTTATTAAGTTGGTTGAGCATCCGGCCGCCTCGTGCTGGACGTGCTGCTTGGGCACCGCTGCCGTTGCGCATAGCCTTGGGGCCTGTAGGACTGTTTGCGGTTAGAATCTGCAGGTTTTGATACGAGGAACGTGAGCGCAGAGGAGCCACGGCAAGCTTCGACGTCGCCTTGATTTGGCATGCGCGTGATTGCGCGATCTCCTTGCAGTTTTTCCACGGTTGTGGAGCTGCCCTAAAGGGGCGGGAAAGTGGAGGGTTCACATACATATTGCCTTGTCCTTCTGACGCGCCTTCCATATCTGTATCTTGCGCAGCTGCCGAGTTGTCGTTTGAGGTGCTGTCCATCTGGTTCTCGATTGACTGTGTGACCTGCGCGTTGCCGCCGCTCGACTGCTTGAGGTGCTCGATCTGCTCGAATAACCACTGCGCAAACTGCTGTGTCTCTGTGTTCTCCGGGCCCAGGTCGAGCAGATCATTTGACAGTTCTGATGCGACCTGCGCTTCGTTCTTGTCGTTGGCCAGCATAAGGAGGATGTACTCGAAGAGCGTCGTGTCTTCGCCGCCCGTCGTCCACCCAAACTCGGCGAGCTTGGGCTGGACTACCTGCTGCAGCTGCATCGCCAGCGGCGACTCGCTCGAGAAATCGACAGCCATGGTGAAGGCAGGCGTTGGTTGATGGGCTTGTCGCGTGAATTCGAGGTTGGCGGTGGGTGGAAAACAAAGGGAGCGACGAGGAACGCGACTTTTGTGACGTGTGACGTAAGGCTATCGCGGGTACGGAGTGCGACGGTCGTAAGAGATGTGTCGTCAGTCGTGAAGATGGGTGCGCGTCAAGTGCAGTGGGTTGGAGCGTGGGTTGTGGAGAAGGAAGCAATTGTCTCGGAGCGCCTGCTCAAGTTCTGCGCAATCAAAGCTCGGCACTTGCCGCTGCCACTAGCGCCTCGCGGTGCGTCTTGTTCCATCGCCCGCCTTCTTCGCCACCCGATTATAGATCAGGATGTGCTCTATGGGGTTGTTCTAACAGCACCCGGAGACATTGTATGGTGGATCAAAGCGGCTCGTAGCTGCTTTGTAGCGCAGCTGGTTCAAACCCCTAGACCGTGTTGCCGGTAGTAGGTCACTGACAGCTGTGTCCTTGTCATAATAATCAGAGTCACTGTTAGATACAGACAGACATTTGCAGTGCATGTTTTATTTGGAGACGAGTAAGATGTTGCATCACCTCTGCCAATAGTGAGAACAGAAGTAACACGCGCCGGCGATCAAAGAGAGGCTCTCTTTGACATTCAATGATAGGTGATCGTGTTTTTCAACAGTCGTGGACCAACTCATGGTCATCGTTCTCGAAAGACAGTACAACGTAATACTGTTCACTAAATACTCCAATTAGACTGTCACAGCATCTAGAGCGCTTATCAAGAGATTCATGTATTCAGCCGATCAAGATCACGCATGCGACTGCTCAAACTTGAGGCGTGCCTCTTCCATGCGCTCATCTTCTTCCATCCGAAGCCTCTGTTGCTCGCGTAGTTCATCTGTGATAAGAACACCGGAGCCTGTTGTTCTGCGTTCTGGAAGCTGTTCCTCACTCTCATGCCCAGTCCTCGACATACTAATGTCTCCTGACATCTTCTCGCTGTTCTTGTCGCGATTTCTGGAACCGAGCATATTCCTCAAGCCA